TCCTGTTTGTCTATATCCAGTAGTTGCTTTGGAGTAGTAACACGCTTAGACTGCGAGCTCTTTGGAGGTGGAATCACTTTTTTACTCCGTGAACACTATCTTCCACTGTGGGCTTCTAGTTCAAAATTTCTTACTGTGTACTCTGTATGGTCAGTGTGTGCGGGTCAAATCTCATACTTGCATATGGATGGGCAGAACAGGTGATGTGTGGTTCAGCCAGGTCCATGAATGTCAGCTGTTTTTTGCAGAAGGCAGGATAGCTTGGAATGCCTCCTAGAACGGCACCACTGTCACCTGCTGCAAAAGCATCATTGTTGAAGGATAGCTTGGGTTTGACTTGTTTACTGTATAGACAGCAGCAGAGATTTGGATTTTCCATAAGTGGTAGTATGAATGTGCAGAACCAGAATCAAGCTATATAGTGGACTCCTTAAAATATGCTTAAAAACATGTAATGTACGAATATGCATAAACATGTACACAAAGCATATGGAACTGTTGCAATTGTCCTGTTGTCTTAGGGTTTTCTTTGGAGTTACATTAGAAGAGGATTAGGTGGGCAGAAAGAGAGAGGAGAAACTAACTAGCATTAGCGAAGCTGAAGTTTTAGAAGAAATTTCTATCATGAAAAGTACAGACAGCACTGTAATGGCACCATCAAAGTTCACCAGTCCCTGCTTAGATTGCTTCTGTAGTTGCTCCATCAAACTATAGTCAGTGGTTATCTCCCCTTTGGAGTTTCTTTCCCAAAGTCCACATGGCTTTGAAAGTTAGGAAGAACAAGAACAATGCTAGCCAGGGAGTTGGTTTTGCGTGTTTTTCCATTTGTATTAATGCTGCTGTGGTAAAAAAAAGTCTTGTTGTTCTTGCTTTGTTTAGACTTTTCCTGTCAAAGTTGAAACCTCTCCTATTTTCAAAGGTGAAAAAAATAGAACGTGTCAATGCTCACTGATTTTACTTGTTTCTGGATGACATCTTTGCTATTTTTCTGAGTTTTATAAGATTCCTGAAATTAATGCCACTCTTCTGTGCAGTTTGAATGTTCTTGAGTACCTTTTCTCTTATGTGTTTTCACCTTTTTGATTAACGAAAATAGCTGTTTTGTGACTATAAGAACCTGTGAATTTTCTTTTGCTTTTACAGCCAATATTCACTAACTTTTCTTTAGATTAATCATGCATCAGAATCCTCTTGGTATCAGCAATGATACATTCCAGCACATTGAATGGTGGATATTTTTAGCAGTTGCTATACTGACTGGAAAGGAGCTGTCACTTTAGTTTTGAATAGATTCACTGGTATGTATCTACATAAAACTTTACACTGATGGAGTCTCCTGATATATAGGAGGATGGGTCAAAAACAGTTTTCAAATAAGTTCTAATTTTGAGGCTAATCTAATCCGTCTATTCCTGATGGGCATTGTAATGATGTGAGATGTGTGGATAGTAACAATTTCTACTGCATGCTGGCAGTCCCTGGCTCCCACCGTTCAGTTGCCAGTCAGTTCAGGGTTGAAGAGCCACGAGCCAGAAATGTGCTGAATCCCATCCAAAAGGTTCTCACTTTGCACTGTCTCTGGGTGACAGACCAAAGGAGATCATCTGCCTTGCTTATGCATACCTCTCCACACTGGTCACTGATGACTTCTATCTCCATCTTTGTGAGGGGCAGTTCTTCATCTTCCTCTCTGTTATAGTGCAAAAGTCCCCAAGGATTGCCCTGAGCATTGTCATCTCTGTTTGAAGTGGGAGTGTAATTTATCCCTTTGACGTGAATTGGGTCAGGTCCCCTTCATGTTTTTGCAGAAGCATTTGCTTGGGAACAGTGCAGTAGATCATGCCTTTCTGTGCGTTGCCCCAGAGGAAATGCTGGACAGAGGCTTTTTTGTCTGAACAAGTCCCAGAACCCTTGTCCTGCTCCAGCCTGCATTACATGAGGGCAGTCCAAGGACTCCATGTGTTGTCCAGCATGCCTGGCTGAAGGCCTGGCTCTGCCATGCAGTTGTCAAAGCTACTGAGTATGGAGCCCTTGATAAGGCCTACTTTTACTCAAAGCAAGGTCTGAGGGAAAATCCTGAGGTAAAGCCAGGCATCTATCTGAATAGAAGGAGCCTAAGCCTGTAAATACAAAGAAGAGTGACAATACTGACTTTTGAGTACTGGGGTGAGAACAGGATGTTCACCCTACAATTTACTCCTTATAATTTACTGTTTGGGGGGTGGAGGGTGAGGAGTGGGACCAGAGGAAATCCAGTACACCACAGTGCACTTTGAACCTGTTTTTGAGATGTTTATAACAAGTGTTGTTTTCCTGGATACCAGTGAGCCATTAACTTCATATAACAAGATTCTTGAAAAATTGTACACATCTATTTTTAAAACTTGAATTACTTGCTTGGATATAGTTAAAAAAAAGAGCAAGTGAGTAAGTAAGTAAAGGAAAATGGCATTCAGTACCCAGAACTGATCAATGCAAAGAAGAATAATGAAAAGCAGTAATCTCTCCTTTCCTCAAGCCAAGTTTACATTTTAAGCCAAAATTTCTGAGAATCTTGAAAAGTCAGAGAGTGCTAGATAACTTCCATAAGCAAGGGACAGACCAGAAAAGTTGGATAATGATTTTTACTGTATGACTTTATGGACTCAATTCAAAGATGCCAGTCCTCCACTAGGACTGGTGATGTTAATGGGAACTGTGAAATGTATAGCATTTACAATTAATTTTTTTAAGGATCCACAGGAAAATGATATAAGCAAAATTTTCTTAGGAATGAATTGGCAGATTTAGTTTTTGGATGGTGAGTGTTGCTTGAGGATTTTTTGATTTATTTATTTTTTTTACAAAGAGCTGTAAATTATAAATGCTGCATAAAGAAGGAGAGAAACACATCCTGTATTTCTGGTTTGTTTGGTATTTAAAAACAAAGGTCAGACTGGAATTAATAGTTTTCCAGCTTTGTTTTGAAAAAAAAAATGTATTTCACTGATTTAGTTATTCATTTGAAGTCTGGTACATGAAGATATACTTTGAGTCACCCACTTGGAGTTAACTTCACATCTACAATTGTACAACTACGTTCGACTACATTCTTTTCTCACACAATTGGAGATCTCTATTTGCAGATTCAAGGCATCGACATTAAGTATTGACAGTGTGAATGTGAGTGAACATGCTTAGTCTCTGCAACAAACTAATTATTGTTTAAAAATGGATGAAATCCTGAGACCAGCAGAAGTTTACTGAAGTGATCCCTGGAATTTTTTCCTTTTTCCCTTTTTCCTTTTTTCATTCTTTCTGCAGCTAACTGAAAATTGACTCTGTAGGTTTCTTTCCATTTTCCTTCCAGCTAACCAAAACTTCTTTTCCTTAATGTTTTTTTCATAAAGACTCTACTGCTTGAATATATAATTTTGAATTTTGAATATATAATATATGACTTGCATTGCTGCAATTAAGTGGCTAGTTGTACAGTTTATAATATGTATGCATAATTGCTTCTGCAAGAGGTTAACTGTGAAAGGCATAGAAAATTAACACACAAAATGTTACCCAGGTTACCTTTCCTTGAGTAAAGCCTCTAAGATTTTGTTTACTTTGCTGTTTATGGGCAGTGAAACTCCTGAAGATGTTTTAATATGAAACTGCCTGTAATGTCTTGTCTTGTATGTCAGCTATAATGAAATATTCTTGTTAAAAAAAACTTCCATGAGCCATAAGGGCAGCAAATCAGTTTGGGGTTTGAGGTCCAAGCCGTGGTAAAGGATGCATGACTGCAGTTAAACTTTTCTTTTCCTGCTTATCTTTCCAAAAATACAGAGCAGCAGTTTGGGTGTTTTTGGATCATCTTTAATACATATCTTTAATAAAAACGGAACAAAACAAATGCTGGCTTCTCTAAAAATGCATCTAATGAGTTTTTAACAAAATAAACAGAAGTGTAATCTGTCTTTGCAATTTTTAACAATGCAAAGGCTTTAGAGCAGCTTTTATGCAAAAAAGCTATGAAGTGCTGGTCATACGGAAGGGAGTTTCCAGTTTTTCCCTGGACTCTGCAGTAGGTGATTTTGAAAGCAGCACAGTGTGGATCAAATGTAATGAAAATGTAAAATTACAGTAGAGAAAGTGAACCTCAAATGCTTTCTCAGAGTTATCAGATCTTTTATACTTAGGATTTTTTAATGTCATATTTTCATTAGTATATGCAGTATATTTATGATGAGGCTATAGCAGAAGTAGAAAAGAGAGAAATAGTATTATGAGGGTAGGAAGAGACTTACACGTTTTTTTTTAAAAACATTTCTTTGTAAGTAAATATTGCCGACTAAGAAAAAAGTTGTCTTTACGGGATGTATAGGGAAATGCTGCAGCTGGCAAATCTTTGTTTTCAAGCAGCTCAGTTTGTAAATATGTTTGTATTCCTTTCCACTTTCTGATCACCCTAATGCTTAAAAAAAAAAAAGTTATTTGAACATTTTCTGTTGTCTAGTAGAGCCTGTACCATACCACTTTTAAAAAGGAACATGTATTCTGTTGACCTTCCCCTTGGTCTTTGAACTACTGTCCTCCCCTATTTCTTTACCACCATTGTCTTCCCCTTCATAATCGTATTCGCATTCCTTCTGTAATCTCCTTGATTACAGGCGCTGTAAATTTTTATTTGATCCTATCTTTTACTGTTCTTGTCTTTCATACAGCAAGGAGACCTATCTTATGCTAATAAGTCGGACAAATATCCTTCATCTTACTAAAACTAAATACTGACCCAAAGAAGCGTCTATGTTAGTTAAAATGGACAAGACTGTATTCTACTATCTTGCAGAATTTCAGTAGCCTAAATGAGGATATATGAACGTCATCTGTGTAGGCGTCTTTCCTTTTATTACACATATATTTTCTGTGTGCTTTTCTGTGTGCAACATTATAAATACTGTATTTGAAAGATCTTTTTGGTGCCCCTGTTAACTTTAATTCCAGTAAGGGTTTTTTTTTCCTTACAGGATTTAACAACTCTGAACGCATGTGTGACAAAGAGTTCATAATACGCAGAGCAGCCACTAATCGTGTCTTGAACGTCTTGCGTCACTGGGTCTCCAAGCATTCTCAGGTATTCTTCTGTTCCACTCTTGTGCTGTGTGTCTGTAGCTGGTCTTTGGAAGGATGTGAGCTGACCTCAGCCCAGTCATGGAATTCATATCACTTTGATTCTATCTGTAACATATTAGGAAGCAGTGCTGCTGTATAATGTAGCAGAGGTCAAACTGCTTGAAAGTCAGTGCTGTAACAATAATAAGGAAAATTTGCCTATTAAAAAACACTGTTTCATAAGTAAAGAATCCTTCATCTAGCCTTGCAAAGCTCTATGAAAATAGCCAATATTTCTTGTAACATTTTGTATGACTGCTGTGCTGCATGTTGAAATAGATATATGAGAAATACACTAAAGAACATCTAGATTGCAGCTATATTTATTGTATAAATTAAACCACAACTTCAGTTGAGAAGTTAAATTCAGAATGCAGTACTATCTATACGCATACTGATTATGTTCCATTAGTGCGATATGCTGCCTGAAAGTATATATTGCTTCACAACACCTGGTGCTTCAGTGGAAGGCAGGTAAGTCCGTAATCCGATCATGCAAAATTGTATTAAGATCTAGAATTTCCTGGCCCCTAGTGTTGTAAAGTGTTGTGTCTGCTTTATTCATTAAGGATGAAGCTCTACTTACGAGCAGGCTGTATTTATCTTTCAGATTGTCAGTGCTGATACTGCAGAAAACTTGATTGTGTTACTTTGACTGAATGTATCAAAATACCTGTGCTTACATACAGATATTCATGTATTTATTGTGAAGCATATGCAAAAAGAGGTACCAGTCCTCCATGGGGGTTCCCTCTACAACCCATTACAGGGCTGTGGGTGTGAGCTGCCAGGTGAAATGAATGGTTTCAGATTTCGGTGTGCATGTAGAAAACTACCAAGCAAATTGGTCAAAAGAAAGAAGGAAAGAGAAAGAAGGAGAGATAACTGTGGAAGCACATGAAAGATTTCTGTAAGCCTTGGATAAATGATGGCAGTTCATGGCAGTTATAGACTGCTTTGTCAGTCCTTGCTAATAATCAGGAAAATTTGATCTGAAAGATGATCTGTTGCACAGCTGGCTGCAGCAGTCTCCATGCCAAACTCAATTCCCTTATTTCCATGAAATGGGTTTAATTTTCATAGAGGCTCAGTTTGCTGAAGAACGAAGCCAATAAAAATGCTTAAGTGGGTAAATTTGTTGTGTTCGAAAAGCTAGCAGCCCAGGAGAGATTAATACAACCTCTTTTGATGTCATGAGAGTGATTGTGAATTATTACAAACAGCTTGAGAGTTTAGCTGTACTGATAGATACACCATGTTCTCTTTGGCTACCTGTTAAATGAAAATCATTGCACATCAAAGTCTTGAGCTGTACTGGAATGGCAGAAGTCTATTATTACTGTTCCATATTATAGTAGTGTACTGTGTCTCGGCTACAAGTAATATTAAATAAGTGCTGTGAGTTGAATTGACCTTTTATACCAATTAAAAGATTGTTAATCAATGCAATTGTGAAAATGCTACGAATCACCAGACCTTTGCCTGCATTAAGCAAGTCTCTCAACTAGTTAAACCAAAGTTTGTTTCTTGGCTGACCCTGATTTTGTTGTGATTATTCTGTAGTGTAGACACAAACCAACTGTAGGGAGTGTAAGCACAATGTTATTGTCTCTGTTTCCATTTGAAGAGTACTCATACTATGCAAAAATATATGGTACTGCTCTGTATACCTTTGCACTTATTTTTACCTAATGTTTTACAATTATTATTTTTTTTAAATATGCAAAAGACTAAGGGAATGGGATAAGGAGATAGAATCATTTCAAGTCCAGCACTGTGCATTTTGAAAGCTATTACTTGGACTCCCTAGTCACTCACTGCCTTTTATTTTTTTGCCGTGGCAGGGGTGGCAAATTTTAATTCTCTACCTCTCTTAATCCAATATTCCAATATAGCAAATATTTTTACGTGCAAGGACTTTGGCAAAGAAAGTAATGAACTCTACAGCAACAGAGCATATAATCAGCTTTTTGTGCTGTTTACTTGAGAGACTAGGGACAGAGGAAGGACACAAGACCAAAACAAAACAGAAATGACTGACTAGTTTCTGCCAAAAGAAATGCGCAGAAATGTGACTAGGACTGCTATAAGGAAAGCGAGCGAAGAATTACTTCACTTTGTCTGGCCAAACAGTATGAAATGTTGGCAGTAAAGATCTATAGTCCTAGGAGAGCAATAGCTCACAGCCTTATTTTACAGTAACAATGCAAACTGCAAACCAGAGAACCCGTAGCCACCAGTGTCTGGTGAAGAAATGCTTATTAGTTTTCCAAAATGACAAAACAACGTAAGCACTAAAATTCTGTGAGATCAACAGACCTGCCTAAAACTTTATTGCATTTTGAGGTATTTACATCATTCTCTGGCCACTCAGTGCATCTGAAGTTCTTCACCTTTATCAGAAGCCAAGGGTGGATTTTATTCTCTTTAAGAAAAAAAAAAAAAAGGATGTTAACAAAATAAGCTGATATTTGCAAATATCTCTCTCCACTTGGCTTTGAGCTTTGCCTTACTCCTTCTGCAAACATTCCCAACACCAAATATGCAATTTCTCTCCTCTGTGGGAGCAGCTTCTCCTGCTGCCCTGTAGAATATTCTCCTCTTGATGTGCCTAAGATTTTTGTGGTCATTGCTAGCCTATGCCACTGTAAGATGTGAACTACTGTATGGTTTTTCTTCCGTCAAAATGCTATTTCCTATTTCTAGATTAAGAGAGAAACAAAAGCTTTAGATGGGTAATATGTGTGTGTGGGAGCTTTGTTTAATTCTCTTTTTAGGAGTCTGGATGCTACTACAGAAGTGCTTAGCGTTGCCGCATGTGAAAAATTCTGAGAGCATAGCAGTAACTCTGTTTTGATATTCTCTGATCTACTAGTAGTAATCAACTCGCTACTAGTTAATTGTCTGCCTAAATTATTATAGTGATTTATAGTGTTCTAGTGCCTAGAGTATGCAAGGTGCTATACAAACACAGAGTAGTGGGCTGGCTATGTGCAGAAAGGTTTATAATGTAAAGAGACTAATGAAAAGTACCAAAAACATATATCATCCAACTTTTTTGTTCCCTATCCCCCGTCCCTCCTTTTGGATCCCTTTGGCTTGCTTCAGTGTGCCCCTCTCTAGCACCTAATGACATGGGTCAGGATTAGCGTGTGAAACAAGAGATAGAAAAAGCATCCAAAAATATGGTTCAAAGCCTTGTGTTTCCCTACTTTTTTCTAGCCATGACTTAAAATTCTTGGCTGCGGTTTGGATGGTTTTTCCTCTGCTCAGCTATGAAATGAATTAGCTTTCTACAGTGTCTTACAACTTTGTAAAGGCCACAGTTGTGGATGTTTTATGTATTTTTTTTTTAAAAAACTGTGATATTTTTATTTTATGGTCTGAACATGGACAGTATTTAATATGTAATCTTGTCTGTGAGCATGAAACAGAGTCATTAAAATTAACAGTTGAGACTCTTCAGTTAGGATGTATATTAATAAAGCAGTTTTGTTATCTTTAAATCATACAAAATAAAGCTTAGGGAGTGGATTTTTCATTATTTTTAAAAGTTGGGTCATACACTGTTGGACTGTTGGGGCCTCACTTAAATCCTTAGTAAGTACAGATCGATAGTGCCACATCTGCAGCCCTTTCAAGAAGACAGAAGGAACTAATTAATGTCTGCAGGAGCTCCCAAGGCACAGATGTGAGTTTGGAAAAAAACGTTCATGAACATAACGTGACACTTACTTTTTGTTTCTGCCACAGTGAGCAAAAGGAATCAAACCTCTATTGCTAATCATTTATTTGTGCATGAAAGATAAATCATTTAGGTTTTCCAGGGTTTTGTTTACATTTAGTTCTTTTCGTTCTTTCCCTCTTCTTTTTACCCTGCTCTTCTCTATCTGTCATTCAGCCACCTACAAGCTAATAAACCTTTTTTGCCCAAAATAGCAGCAGAATGTTCATGTTTGCATTTTGTTTTTAAAATGTAATTGAGAGGAACAGTGTAGGATTCTCCCATTGTAAACAATGGAAACACAAATGCTGAGGCAGACGGTGGTTGTGAAGACAAGAGCTTTGCTGATTTGATGAGAATGGAAAATGCTTGTGAGGACAAAATTCCCACTGACTCCTGTCAGAGAAGGAAAAAATAGAAAGGGAAAAGGAGGCAGAGGAGAGAGTGTTTGTATGATTTTCATTATCCTAATGAAGTCTTGAAGTCTCATTTTCTTCGTTTAACAGGACTGCTTTGTTTTTTATCTAAACACTTCAAGTTACAAGATTAAGTTTTTCTGCTTCTGTGGCAAGCAGACTGAAATGGAGCTTGTCCAAGGAGAAAGATTTTGCTTCTCCTGATAAAGAAGGAGAGGCTAGGCTTCTCCCAGTTTCCCAGTTCTCAAAGACAGTTGAGTGCTTGTTCCCGTTGGCTTCTTTGAGGATCTCAGCTGAAATTAATAGGCAAATCTTAACTCTGTTACTAACTAAATGGCTGCCAGACAGCGTCAGTGGTTATGAAGTTACCACAAGATCTGGGGAGCAGACCAAGATTTGAATTTTGAGAGTGTAGGTCATGATTTGGTACCTGATTCCTGTCTCGCTCCAGCTGTGAAAAAAACTACTGCAAGCGATTTTCTTGTTTGTGCTGACTAAACTGTGCTTGGTTTTCGACAGCAGGCTTTGCAGATGTAGTTATTGATAACACTTAGTGGTTAGAGAAGGAGGACGCCTGTAAACAGAGAATTACCTAAGCAAAGATGATTTTAGATAGGTACCAGTAGTTTTAGTGCATACTTGCACATGAATTGGCCAATTCTGTTTTATTTTCAGTATACTGAAACAAGCAATGATATAAAAATTCATTCATGTAAGTCCCACTTGGCTCATATTTAAAAGTATAAAGGAATGAATATGATGCCTGGTAAAGTTATGGCGTGTTAATTGTAACAAATTAGACTTACCCCGCACTTCCCGTGT